CTATTGACGTATTCCTACCGTACCTGTATTCATAAATTTTTAGTATTACCGTTTTCCGTCCCGGTGCTCGTCCCTGTTTCTTGTCCCCGTATCGGTCTTAGTGGAACCTAGCTAAAGAGTAACAAATGTATATATATTTAAATAAAAATGAATTGCTCTCTATGATTTCGAAAACTATTGTGTTGATCTTAGATCCCTTATGGAGGGGGAAGGGATATATGTGAGGTATCGTTAATACTTAAAGACTTTTGACTCCCAAGAGTTTCATGGAAACAACCAATAAATTATTCAGCCTGTCTTTGACACAGATTTATTTCTTCTGACAAATATATGATTGCAACTCCAATGACATGAAATAGATTAATAATATTAGGTAAAGCCAAACTAACGAGCAAATGACATGACAACGATACCGTATTGTCAATACGACCCTTGGAACAGAAGCAATAAAGACCTTTCCTTGTTATTCACTCGAAGATGACATAATTGGTGATCATTTAAACCACAAGAATGAAATACAATTAACAATCTCTTTTGAGAGAATAACAACAATGCCTCCACTTCCCATTCTCAATCCTCTACTTAGATTCTCACCCCCTTCCTCCCCTGATAATCCCAAGCACCAGAGACTATTAAAGATCACTATGCCAAAATTCGCAGTGCGCAAACTCATACCTCTTCTTGTCTTCCTTCTTTCAAGCCTCTCTGTTCTCCGACTACTCCGCCTTTCTTTCAAGTCGTCATCCTCAGCATCTCGCCCCTTCTCTTCGACCACATTTCGGTTGAGTCCGGCTAAATCCAGTCAGCACACTAATGTGGGTCTGAGCTCCCTTACGGAAAAGGAACTCAAGCTCTTAACAGATACCATTACTCAGAGATCCCCTTGCAACGTTCTTGTTTTCGGGTCTGCACCTCAATACCTCATGCTATCCTCAATCAACACTAGAGGCATTACCGTCATTCTGGAAGATGAACCTGCAAAGATAATGACACCAAAAGGCAACAACACCAAAATCTACAGATTGAAATTCCATCAGATGGAAGTCAAGAATGCTTACAAGCTGCTTCGACATGCTCGAGCCAATCCTGCATGCTCACCAAATATGAATCTACATAAAGGGTCATCAGACTGCAAATTGGAATTGAGAGATTTTCCACATAAAATATACGATATCAAATGGGATGTGATAGTTGTCGATGGGCCACGTGGGGATGACTTAGAGGCACCAGGTCGGATGGGGACTATTTATACTGCGGCTGTGTTAGCAAGAAAAGGAAGTAGCAACTCAACAACAGATGTATTCGTGCATGATGTGAACAGGACTGCTGAGAAGTGGCTCTCCTGGGAATTCTTGTGTCAGGACAATCTCCTTTCATCTAAAGGAAACTTCTGGAAGTTTAGGATCAAGGGTCAATCAAATGCGTCCAGGTTTTGCTCACCAGAGACAGTCCTGATCAAATACTAGCAAAATTTTGTACATTTAATCAAGAGCAACATTCTTGCTACATTAGTTCGACACACCGCTGCGTCTTTATCTCACACCAGCATACAGAAAGCTATTCGGAGTTGAAAGCCACTTATTGTAGACTAGCTATCAGAGTTTTGTACAAATGTCATTCCAAATGTGTGTGTCCAACTAGAAAATAGATTTAGTTTGTTGATATGGCAAGGCTGTGCACCACGCAACACTACTTACCTCATTTTTTCATCTCCAAGAGAACTCAAAGGAAGATCAAACATATGCAAAAAGGCCATCTCTATGCTGTATTTTTATTACTACCTAAGCTCCGTGAACGTTTTACCTTTATAATCCACCTCAACGAAAAACAAATTGTATCCAATTCTTTGCACTACTTCAAAAGAATATCCACGAACACATACCTCTAAACTTTTTTTAAAGCTCGACATGATAAACAAGATACAGGAAAAGAGTATTATAAAAAATCCTACATGAATGATCTGTTCTCCTTTCCATTTTGATGTAAGCCATAACCATCACTCACCACTCTCCCTTCGCTGCAATCACAATAAATGGATATACATAAGGCCACTGAAAGGTACTTCTCTATGTAAAACTAAAAAAAGTAACCAACAACGCATTATGTATGCTTATATGGTATGGAAATGAGGTGAAGATTTCGAGTGTAAGGGAACACACATGATATGTGGCTAAAAGAATATCAATCAAAACAAATATGTTTACGGATTAGGAAATACAACATAACCACATATTACCCGTTATTTGTAATTTAGTATCATAAAGGCAAAACATACCGCCCGTTTGCTAATGTACGGTTGTATCTGGACTGGTTCTGGTTCAATAGAGATGCTATCAGTTTTGACTAACTTCCGTTTTTCCTTCTCAAATTCTTTTCTGGATTCTTTTCGAGTGCCTGATTGCCAAACCCGACCAAAATTAGGAAGCCAGTCTGCATCAGTGTTACTATTCATTTCTAGTCCCCTCTTCTCCATCTCTATCTCTATCTTTCTCCTTTCAGCCCATGCAGCGCCAACCCTCTTAGGATTCAGCTTACAAGTCTTTCCAGCAATCTTTTTCTGAAAGCTGCTCGTTTCTGATTGGTTTAGTTGAACATTAGAGACGTTCCCATCATTTGTATCAAGCCACGGGGGAGGAGCTCCAGAGTGAACGTTCCCACTATCGTAGCTGGAATGTAAGGAAGAAATGCTAGTCATTCCCACTACACCTGACAAGGAAAAAAAGGAGAAAAGGCTCATGCTATTAAAACTAGCACATATCACATTGGGTGCATCAAAGAAATTCATAGAGCAAGCCGATAAAGCACTAATCATGAAATGAACACAACGGAGCTCAAATTTGAATATCAAGAAGACACCTACCTGGAGAGCTGTAACTGCCCACAACTTGTTTCTTATCCTGGCACATTGGATTATTCTAGATGAAGACAATGTCAGTCACAGGCTCATATATAAAAAGTATGGACTTAGAGAATGAGTAGATATCTCAAAAGGAAAATTAGTGACATAAATGAAAAATGAGTAAAAGAGACACAAACAGTGATGTAATTTTGATGGTAAAAACAACACAAAAAGTATCCATACTTTATTATGATCCATTCCAGGTGAAATACCTTTCATACATAGAGGATTTTCAATTACGCATATACCACATAAGAAGTTTCTGAACAAAGTAATTATGACCCATAATTTCTGAGCTAAGGAATCCTCATGATGAAACTAAGAGGCCCCAGATTCAGAGGCAAATTAAAAAGTAGCTACGAATCCATAACACGAAAATGCAATGCGCATATAGCAATGAGAAATTCCAAAGTGTAGTTGCAAACTTTTTCAACTTTGTGAAGTCAGTATTGATCGATCAACCAAATATGTATGAAATTGCATTTACACATGGATTACAAAACATATCCAATTTTAGAGCTACAACTAATTACCATATTATAGATTCAAACGTTCTTTCATTTAATTCTTAAACATTATTGAGAAGCAGCCAAAACCTAGCATATCAGAATTTCAAAAGCAGCAATATCAATGTTACTATGATCCATACCTCTTGGGTGCTATAGTTACCATTGCCCGAGTAATTCTTGCTTCTACAAGGAATGGAATGCTTGTCAAACCCGTTCCCTAGAGAAAAAAAGTCATAGAGACTATTATCTATATCTTGTTATACACTTAGAAAAGAAAATATAGAGATCGGAATAAAACAGAAAATACCTGGTAGATGACTCAGCGGATCAACAGACAGAGGGAAGTGAGAAGCATCCATGTTTGGATATGATCCATACTGTGTAACTCCAGGAAGCCCTGAATGAGATATCTGGCACTCATACGTATTATACTGTAAAGGCTTAACATCATTTGAAAGATGTGAATTTATATGGTGTGTAGGAACATTTTCAATTCTATCCATAGTTTCAAACGCAAGTTTATTGTGGATATCATTAGATGTCCCAGAAAGCTGCCCAGAGGACCCTTTATAGGAAGAGGCATCTTCATTACTTAGTGACTGGCATTTTTTCCCCCACTGCATTTAGCAAAAATTGAATTCCATAAGAGAATTGTACGAGTGAAAAATTACTAAGAAAAAAGTATCAGCTACACTAAAAAATTGCAAATGTTGTCCACAATTGATAACCTTCAAGTGCATTACCTTGGCTACATCTGCTTCTGAGATACGGAAATCTTCTATGCAATCCATTGCCGGGCCATGTTTCCAAAGAAATTGCTTGACATTCTTAAGATGATCGGAACTTGCGAAGTGATTGATTGCCTTAGAACTGAGAAAAAGTACCCAAACAGAAGATTATGATAAAATTGCTTCTGCTTTTCTCCTTCCATGAGATACAATCCAACAATCGGCTCAAAATAAAAGGGAATGACATACCAGGCGAAGGAGCTACCGAGCTCAACGATGTCATGATCGCAGAAGACACACCAAACACGGTTTTGAGACTCCTCTTGTGGGCGTAGAAGGATAGGGTTCCGGAGGAAGAATCTGACGTCGGCTAATTTGGATCGGAATCGACCGAGGAAAGCAGAGAGGAAGTCTTTGTGGCGAGGGAAGTACTTGTGGCGCGGACCCTGGTCGTGATGCAATCGGCACACATTGCAGAACTCGATCTCGCTCTTCTTTGATGGTTTCATCATCTTTTTCTTCTTCCTATTTTCTTTCATCGAGTTCCTTTGGTTGGTATCACCAATGACCTTGCTTTGTTACTAAAGGGAATGATTATGGGTGATAAATAAAAATAAATATAAAATATTTTTAATATTATAAAATTTTTATATTTATTCAAACCATTTTGAGTTTTTAAATATAGAATCTATATTATTCATATTTTAGTGGATAAATATAATATCTCTCTCTTTTTTCTCTTTGTATTCATCAAATCACAATACAATTAATATTATAAAATTCATATATTACTCCAATCATATTTACTATCTATAATCATGCTCTAATTTAATACCGTAAAACCTCTATAAATTGATAATGTTAAATTTTTAAAAAGTTATTAACACTAATTTACAAAATTACAAGATTAAAGATATGTATATATACAGATTCTGTAATTTAATTTTTTATAAATTTGTAAAAGAATAAATTATTTAATTATAGAAAACAAAATTACATCACTTATTAAAGTAAATAAAATAAAAACATAACATTTATTTGTTAGGTGGTTGGTCCGCACTGTATACGGGTATAAAAATTCTTAAAAATATAAGTTTATTATAGTATTTTTTTTGTCACGAACGCACTTCAACCATTGATTAAAAGATTACAGAATCTCGAAATCAATAGAGAATCGAAGTGCTAATGGTAGAAAAAAGTGTATTCTTTAGGCGAGCGTTCCTAGCCAGTAGCTCCGCCTTCTTGTTCATTTCCCGAAGACAAAACACAAGGGTAAAGTCTGGAAATGACACGCGTAAAGCCTTCAACTCATCAAGCTCAAACTTGAACCGAGGCCAATTATGTGGATCCGACACCATAGTTACCAATTCCTACAAATCGACTACAAACAACTCACAATATCGCTTCTTCCTTCTTAGGCTCTCCATGGCCCAGATGAGACTGTGCATCTCCATGTGGAGTGGGGACAAGCTATTCGTCATCCCACGAATTCCTAGGTGGTTCGTCTCTCCATCTTGTAATTATAGTATCTACCCTAGTCCACTCGTGGGATCACCCTCCTTCCAAGACCCATCTGTATAACATTTGAAGACTGTTGGAGGGAGAGTCTCATGGGTCCGCTGGTCGTTTCGTTCAGAGCTATTGGCTAGGAACCAGCCTATAGCCTCTCGTCTGGCGATATCGAGGATCCCCTGC